TATAAAGAGGTATAAATTCTATTACTTAGCTCATTCTCCACATAAACCACAAGAACACTACTTCAAAAAGAATGTGCAGCCCAATTAGGTGCTGATAACATGGTATGATTCACAAGCTCAAACAATTTGACATGGTATTAAATGGCTGAGAGTCAATGATACCCCACATCTATTTATTGTTCGAATTTAAGGTCAGACAGGCAGTATAAGCACCACGTAATCAGCACTCCCGTAGAGAACTTACCTATTCCAATGTGTATAATTGTAAACTTGAAGTATGGATAAGGAGGACGGACGATGGATGCAACGAGAAAACCTATAATTGAGCCTGATATTGTGGCTAGAATAACATTGACAGGAATGAACCACCTGAAATGAGAATGTCATCAGGTCACCAGAGCACATCAACCAGCTATTGTCTTTTATACGGAAGCTACATTGTCAATTCTTACCATTCGATCATTTTTTCGTACGTTATGGCTTGACCCAGTTGAGCAAAAATGAGACAAGGGAGCAGAAGTGAGAAGACCAGCTGCATCAAACCATACACAAGCAATGAAGCATTTAGCTTGCAGATATCCAGTGACATATGAAATTTGTAATATAAGGGTGTAATAGCTGGTTTTGTGCATCCCAAAAACCGAGCATTCATGACAAAGTCGACGTCTATTTTCTAAGTAAAATGGTAACTGAGTGTGAATTTTTACGATGAAAGTGAGATTGAGCATACAATTTTGCTCATCAGACCTAAGATTTAAAACCTTAAGCAAACATCATGTTTCCTTACCCCATTTAAGAGCTTTCTCCCATTAGCAGGCAAAATGTTTACATACTTGGAGGCCATGAGAAAGCCCAAGAAGCACATGGCAAAAACCTTCGCGATTGGAAGAACAGCAATCTTTATGCTCCCTAACAAAGACTCTCCCCCGTTTACAGGCTCCATTAGGACCTCAATCAATAATCTCCGCATACTATCAGCCATCTCGCCCTATAAGCCCTAACCTCAAAGCTGCTGATATTTATCGTGATGGCAGAAATCTATGCCCGAGACTGTTCTTTCATGCAAACTCGGAAACAGCTGAATTAAGAACGGGAAGTCGTTATCAATCAACACGGAAAAAAATGCAAGACAGATACACAATACAGAATTAGTAACAAATTAAGTATATAAACCAAATTGGCGATAGCATGCTTCCTAAAACCCAACGTAACAGCAGCCTAGCTTTTCCCGTCCCACTGAACACGAAAACAGCTGGACCAAGAATATAAATTCGACCGAGGAGTTCTAAATTTACGATCTAATAAACAGAACAACAATTAGTACAAAATCTACCGACAGAACACA